TACAAAAGAAAAACGTTATTACTTAATAAAATGTAGCAATTACTAATAAGATGTAACAAGTATTAGTGTATTACTAATAGCGAGGTCATCATCAGATAACACATCGTGCACTTCGTCGTAGTCATATATAGGCAAGCTACTAGCCAATCTTGAGTGCATATCAATGCCTCCACAATCACAACGAACAAATTTTTCACACCCCAAACCAAGGATGGTGGAAACGTCTGGGGGTGAAGGACTTCATGTATAGTATCATAACAACAATTATAATAGTGATCAGAGTAAATACAACCAACATAAATATAATTGAAAAAGTTAGACCATAGTATGAGTTTACATGTTTCCAAATCAATTACATTATGTTGACAAAAATGAAATGTTTGACACCTTACGTCCCATCCTCGAAAGCACTTGGTTACCTATTTATGGATTTCCTGAGAATACTAGTAGTTTTGAAAAAGTGTCAACACAAAGGTTGGTGAGTTCATAAGCTTTTGTATGCAGTTATGAAAAACGTTTCTTGTAAAAGTAGTGTTTGTTCCAGAAAAATCCAATATTTTCCTTAATGTGTAAAATGTAGTCTTGAAAAACCCAAAGACCGAAATGTACAAGTAACTTTCCTTACTTATAGTAAACAATGCAAGTTTATATCAACATAAACTCATTTGATTTCTATGAAATTTCCGTAAATCCTATGTTTGTTAATACTTAATGTGAGTTATTATAACCATGTTATGACATAATTGGTCTGAAATGACGTTCTTCAGGCGTCAGATATGTTATGACATTTGTCACCCCAAACCTGCCGGTCTAGCCGTTGCATGCAGCTAAGGTGTGAGTTTGTCAGACCCAATATAGATCTATATACAACTATCACGCTCTCCCTACAATAGATTTTGGTTACAATATAGGACTTAAATGTATTACTGGAAAAGTAACATGAAGCGAAATGTCTCACAAAAGTCATTAACGGATTTACGTGTAGTTTAATGAAAACCCTTTTGTAATGAGTGTGTTATGTAATGAATCATAAACTATACCTATTATAGTTTATCAAAACAATGAAAGTAGTAGTGAACATAAACTATACTTATCATAGTTTACCAAATGTTTGCATGTAATGGATGTACTTCGTTGATAACAATTTGTTATTTACCATACTTAATATAACAAAAATCCATTTGTTTTTTGTTGTATGTCTAAATACCAAGACAAAATGACATGTAATGTAATAACATATAATTACATAATGATATGCACCTTGCTCAACAAGTTACAAGGTGTAATGAAATTGATAGCATTTTTCTATCGTTAGCATTTTATATTCCTATACTTAGAAAATTTGTAGAAAAATCATCGAAGGTCCCAATCATAATCCGTAAATTCTAAGAGTTTGGAAAATGAGTCTAGTTTGTTGATAAATTTTTTCATGATTTTTAGTGACCTCCAACTTGTGTGAAAAAGTCCATAATCACAGACTAGTCCAGATTTGTTCTTGAAATGATAGGCAGTTTTGTAAAAATCACCATAAATTGTAGAAAAATCATATGGAGATGTGCAAGTAGTCATTTTAAATCTATGAACTTGAAATATTTGCACCTAGTACAGTTTTGAAAACTAAAATGTTTAAGTTGTCCAAAACAGTCCGTGAATGGAGTCCAACTTTTCTGATGAAAGCTGTTAGAAGAGTTTCGTTGTGTTCTTGTCGTTTTAACTTGTATTCCCCCCCCCCCTTAAAACTTAAGAAAGTGTGAAAATATAGGGGTATGAACTCACCTTGTGTGATTTTAGGGGATGAATGTTGAAGGAAAGAAGTGTTCAACTCAAGAACACTTGGAGGATTGCTTGAAGATTCGAGAATCTAACACAAATATGATGGAGTTTGTGTAAGGAATCTATGATTTGAGTAAACGGTAGTGTAATAATCATATGGAGGATGAATGTACTTACCAAAAGTGAAAGAAAAGCGTGAAGAATGGTCTTGAATCTCGAAATTTTTCTTAGAGGATTTGAGAGAGAAAAGTGTTGGTTTCTTTGGTGGAAATGAGAGAAGTAAGGAGAGATGGTAGTTTTTCCTAGCCCTTGACCATGTGTGTGGCTGGGTAAATGAGTGGGAAAGGACAATGAGTGACTAGGTATGGTGGTAGAGTGTGGGCTGGTCATGGAGTGGGTGTGGGTGGTTGGTTGTGTCATAAACTAAGTAAAGTCAACACTCCACCTCAAGTACTTCACCCACTCTTATTGGATAAGACTTACAATAAAAAACGGGGGACATAATGAAATATGGGGCTTTAAATGTTAAAATATAATTTTGGGTGAAAATCTTGTGTTAAAATACTTAAAAACGGGCCTAAAATGAAGTCGTAGTCGAAAACCAGGTGAATTGGGCCTTTCTGCGAGACATCTCGGTACTGGGCCGAGGTTCGGTCCGTTCTGGTCATGAACCGAAGGTGAAATGGGCTGAAGGGGTTAGGAGCGAAACGGACCAAAGTGGTTTGGACCCGAAATGGAGAGAAGGCGAAGGTAGAGTTCGGTCCAAGAGGACCCTCGGGTTCGGTCTATGCGAGGTTCGGGCACGAGACTTTGAGTTCGGTTCATGGCAGCTTCGGTTCCTATAGGAACCTTCGGTTCTTAGGAGGGTTCGCTCCTTAAGAGAGGGTTTCGGCTCCTAAAGGCTATTTTACTCATTTTTACCCCATTTTAAGCGGTTTTTGACCCGGTTAAGGGTCGGGATGACCCGAATGATTTCAAAAAGTTAAAGGAACATTTGAGAGAGATTTAGGAGAGATTTTTAAATAGAGAGAGATAGAGTGAAAGAGATTGGGAGAGGCTTTTTTGTGACATTTTTGAGTGTTTGGCTTCACAACGCAAGGTCCGTAAACCCCGTTAAGCCATGTTTAAGGATCTTACACACTCCCGATGAGTATGAAATATTGTTTTATCGGTTTGGTTCATTACTTACCACAATTTTAGGTTAAAGAAATCTAGATATACGACCTTTTCAATTGAAGATTTCTCATTAGAATAGCGAGTTGTACAGTAATTACATAACGTAAACCGTAGTATACAAGGGTTAACTGAGTTGACCGGTTTGACTTGTTGACTTTGTTTGACTTTGACTTGACCAGAATTTGACGGTTGTCACAAAATTAGTATGGTAGTCAGTAATTACTCAACGACCGTTACTGAATGTGGATTCGGATGCTACGGTGGAAATTTTCATCCCCAAAATATCTATTAAGAAACAAATTAGTGTATAATACACGACATGAATTTATAAATTAAAAATGAAAATTAGAGTAAAAGAAGGTCGATACCTATTGCCATTTAAGCAACATCGGGAACCACACCGCGTTATTTTCCACCATGTGAGGATATCATATCCTTTGTCAAATCCAATTGGGTCCTCTTTTAAGTATCGTTGCAATTGACTTTCTGATGAAGTTGAGGGGAAACTTCTTGAGTTCATATAGCTTCCAAAGAATTCGTTTTCGTCATCAAAATTAACAACTTCTTCGGGAGTTTCTTGTTGAGACGATGAGGTCATGTTTGACCATTCCAAGTATGTCTTGAAAAACTTGTCCAATTTGCATTCGATATCAATAACCTTAGAACATGCTTTCGATTCTATCTCATCAATGGACATCTTATTATCTTTGTTCTTGGCTTTAAGCATCTGGGTAAAAAAAAACTTTCATAAACTTTGACTTGCATTGAGGATCTAACAATGTCGCAAAGAAGACATAATCACTTATAGTGTCATAGCCACCCCAATATTTGTCATTTTTATCTTTCATATCCGGTACCATAAACAAAAAATCCAGGTTGGTTTCATGTTTCCTAAGATGTTGCTCTATGTCTAGGATCTCCCGGGTATACGTATGGAAGATAGGCTTTGTTGAACATGAAACTTTTTCAGTTTTCTTCTTAAACTTCTCAAGGAACTCTATCATCTTTTTAATCATCTCAAAGTTTGAATGCGATGGTATCCTTTCCACACTTTTTCTGAAACATGGGTTCTATAAAAAAGAACAAAGAAAATACAATCAAAGTTTCATGTATGTTGCTGCAACAATAAACAAAAGTAAATATTGCTAATTTTTAGTGCTGAAACATATTTGATTTTATTTACCTTGATGGCTATTTTCGAGAAATGCGTCTTTCACATTGTATGCTGATCTTAGCCATTCAAAGGTAGAGTTCGACCTTGTTGGAGTTTCACCACACAAAAACCTTTGACTTTCTACAGCCGCATCCTTCATGGCTTGTTTAAAGGTCTTGATCGGTTGCGGAGAGGCTCTAATGTATTTCACCGCATCCTGTATGCTTTATACATGATAAACATCATGTTTTAACCCCATTTTCACAACTAGGTTTATGATATGAGCCATGCACCTAATGTGAAAATGTTTGCCATTCTCGTAAATACCCGACAGTTCTTTCACAATGATGTTGATTATCACGTCATTTATCTTGGCATTATCAACGGTTATCATCATGACATTCTTCATCCCCACTCGTTTATGCAAATTAGCAACTCCCGATCCATGTCTTCAACTTTGTGAGTATCAATCTCTCTAAAGTTGACTACCCTTTTGTGCATGACAAAATCTTCGGTAATGAAGTGGGTCGTGACAACCATATAATTTATCTTTTGACACGAGGATGTCCACGTGTCGGTTGTCAAGTGGATGGCTATTTTGGGGTTGCTCAAATGTTTGTACAACTTCTGCCTCTCCATTAAATAGGACACAACATCACGAGAAATTTTATGTCTTGAATGCAATTTCAACCTACCATTGAGGGCGTTTACAAATTCTATGAACGCCTCGTTTTCAATGAATTTAAAGGGTAGTTCCCCGATGGTGAAAAGGCCTAGTAAGGCAAGTTGGATCCTAGTATCATCATGTTTCCACATGTATACATGACCCTCACCATTAGGAGCTTTCGTAAATGACAACTTTTGTTGTTTCTCATCAACTTTTTTCGGTCTGTTGTCCGGTTTTAACTTGCACTCATTAAAATGCTTGTTTTATTGAAGTTGTCCCATTCCAGTTTGGATATGCGGCTAGTAATTTTAAACAATAATTACATTCGGCCCACTTTCTTTCAATTCCATCTTCCTCCTTTATCCATTCTATCTTGAAGTAATTCCGAACAGGAGCAGTACAATTATCTCTATCCTCACCTCGTCTGGTTGAGTTAATCCGGTCCTTTAACTCCTTTTGAGTCATTTTTTCTGTTTTTGGGTTTTGGTTTTGTTGGGTATTTTTCTTGTGTTGGTTTTTTGGTAGTGTTGGTTTTTTTGTTTGTGTTAGTTTTTTTGGTTGTCTTCGTCTTTGTGGGGTTGCAAATTTTCGTTTTTTTGAAGGTTGGTGTTCTTGTGGCTCCTCTTCTTGGTCTGATTCGTCACTTGGTATAACATTCCATGCCGGTGTTTCTTCTATACAATATTCTTCAGAATCTTCTCCATAATCCTACATTCTCAAAATAAAACATATAATAAGTCATATTAAGTTTAATTGCTGAATTTTTTTTCTTCTGATTGGACACCCTTCCTTGCGGGGCTTGTAACTCATTCAATTTTTAACCAAATCAAACGTTTTTATAGTCTAAGTTAACTACAAAACCTAATCTACATGTAGGAAAAAGATTCAAGTCAAAACAAGTTAAATGCGCATTTGAACAACAAAGTTAGATTACGTTTAATTGTTGTAACATAAAAAATTCTGATTTGACACCCTTCTTTGCGGGGCTTGTAACTCATTCAATTTTTCACCAAATCAAGCGTTTTATAGTCTAAACTTAACTACAAAACCTAATCTACATATAGGAAAAAGATTCAGGTCAAAAAAAAGTTAAATTGAGTGAGTTATACACATTTGAACAACAAAGTCAGATTATGTTTAATTGCTATAACATAAAAAAATTATGATTTGACACCCTTCCTTGCGGGGCTTGTAACTCATTAAAATTTTCACCAAATCAAGTGTTTTTATAATCTAAATTTAACTACAAATTCTAATCTACATGTAGGAAAAAGATTCAAGTCAAAACAAGCTAAATTGAGTGAGTTATGCAACTTTCAAAATTTGGACAAAATGCTAAAAAAGTAAATATTCCTAATGAGCTAATCTTACTTGGTCATCAAAGTCTTTTCCAATCCAATTAGCCAGATTACCATCTTCATTTTTGGCATCATGAACATCCGAGTTTTAGTATCTTGACGATGGTACATTTGGTAAACCATTCAAATCCTACATTGTCAATATAACACATTACTTATATACCTAAACAAATTCTTAGTTTTGACAATCTTACATTCATACTATAAACTAATCTAACAAAAATCTTACATGTATGTCTACAAAGTACAAAGTACATTGCTAAAGGGAACTTAAAACATGAAATACAAATGTATAATCTTACTTGATATTCATGAGCATCCATATTTCGAATCATTGAAGCAAAATATGAAGATGTTGACTTAAGAATTGAGAAGATGGTAATTAATCATGAAGAACAATGGAACGTTGGAGATGATTGGAATCGTACAAGGGATGATCGATGCTTGGATTCCTTTGAGATTTTGATGATCGGCATGAAGAACTGAAGATCGATTGGTAGGGTTCGTGACATTAGGTGATAATCATAAGAATTAAACCATTACTTTCTTTGATGTAATAAGCATCAATGCTCACTAACAAGTTTATTTCAATGATATGAGATTCGTATCTATTAAGTTAATGTCGGTTGCATTGTTTGGATAGTGAAAATTTATGAATCTCAAAATTAAACTATTTTTATATATTGATATTTACGTGGACAAAACCATAAATGTATCATGTATGCGTCTCTAAATTTCTAAAACTCTTAATTCAAACTCAAAAACTGAAGAACTTATTGGGAAGTGGGAATCAATCAATAACCGGAAACAAACACTTCAATAAAAGGGAACCTCTATAAAAGTAGTTCTTTTTTGTCTACTAAAAGATTGCAGCAGGCTTTGTGACGTGGAGAGTTGGAGTTGCCGACTCGGGGTTTATGCCTACTACCGTGGGATTTTTTTGAAGATCGTTTTTTTATCTATGTCAAGTCGGGGTTTACGTCCAAATCAGAAGTCCAAACGGCAAAAAATTATCCGGTCCGGTTCCCGGTTTTGGGCCGGTTCCAACAACTGGTTCTTACCAGGTCCCGTGTCCAAAAATTGACGAAAATATAGTATCGGTCCCGGCCCGACCGGTTTCATCGGGTTCCGGTTCCGGGACCGGTTTCGGCCGGTTCCCCGGTCCATATGCTTATCCTTACTTCCAAACTTATGAGAAGTATTGGATATTTCTAGAAATTTTACATGAATCTTAATGGTTATTTTTTTTTATTTAATTGAGCTTATTTGATTAGGGTAATAAAAAGTTATCTTAATTTAAAGAAATTGTTTTGGTTAAATAACTTTGTAAAAGAAAACTTTGTTGGAGCATGCTAATAGATTTTTTAGTACAAGCTTAAATAGAATGTTTATTAAATAACCATATATGGATTAACTACATAATTAGGAAAGTCATAGAAAAACTTAAACATATTTTATTATTGAATTTTCTAAAGCTTATTTTTATGCATTTTTATTCACTACAATTTTATTTTTAGCAGCTTTATTCAAAACAAAAACCTCATCTTATTATTTCCGTTATGACTAGTATGTTTCTCATGCAAAGAGGCATTAGGTTGTACCTATTTGGATTCGACATTTCTTCAGTGTGTTATCCTTTAGAGCAACTAAGCAGTGAAATTTATTTATTTGTAGGTGTAAATGATACACCTAATACTCTAGCATCATTAACGGGGATACGATATTGCTAATAGTTTATGCCAAGATCTTTAAGTACATGTACCCCATAGAAATTAAAAAAAACCATGAGGAAGTATAACATTCGGATTACGAGGTATTTTATATTGTTTTCAAGTTCGACATACTAAGGTTCTCCACGACGTGGTGATGAGGTGCCATGGCGTGTCAAGTCCAAGTTTTTCTCCCTATTTAAAGGAATGAGGAGGCTAGGGTTTGCTCACCCTCAGACTCTATTAGACCTAAGAAACCCTAAACCCCTTCCTCTCTTATTTTGAGCTTTTGTTGGTGTTCTTGAAGCCTTCAAAGGAAGAAAGAAGAAGAAAGGAGCTAAGATTCAACAAGCTAGTCCTCATCCTTTGTGTTGGCAATCTTCTGGACCTTTGTAAGTGTCCAAGACTCAATATTTATCATGTTAGGTCGAGTCGTATACCCACTTTTCGGCATATCATTATGTCGCCGATAGTTTCTTTAGGATGCAATCGCAAATAGAATCACAATCGCCGTTGTCGTCGTCGTCTATTTTCCATTACATTAGACCTAATTTTCCGCCTCCTTCGCCAGAACAATCGTCACAATGGGATTTTTTCGGCTAAATAATGAATAACTATCATCAAAGCATTTTTGATGATGATATCAGTGGATTACAACAAGTTAGGGAAGAGTAAAGAATTTTAGAACTCGAAGAAGAGACCGAACAGGAACAGGAAAAAACCGATAATAATCATGAAGATGAAGTTACAGTCGAAGATGTTGATGAAGACGATGATAAGATGAAGATGACGATGCCGATGGGTTTGAAACAGATAGCACAAAATAATCATAATGAACATCCCATTTCTGCCATGGTGCTCTTAAACAAGAAAAGAGGCAAATATGTTGACTTCGACTGAGAGAGAGACTTAAATCGGCTACACCAAGTAAAAAGGGTAAAAAGACAGGTTATCCACACGCTTGTTCCCTCATAAAGCCACAAAAACGTTTAGAGAGCAAAATGGTCAACCCTAGAAAGTTTGTAGGGCAGTCATTTTCCCAAGCTATTTCCCTGTCTTCACTTTTAAGTTGGGTTTGTAGCTCCTTAACCTAAAAACAAGCATATAATTAGCAAACAAACAATATATATCAACATCCTTTATCTATTATAGAAACATACAAAAAACATATTCCATAATAGCAACATACTTTACTTTTCTACCAATATAAGTCTTGTACTTATTTTTCATCTATAATAGCAACACACTTTATTTTAACAAAATAATAACAACAAATTATTTATTTAGAGACTATTTTCATTCATAATAGTAAAATACTTAATAATAGCAACATACTTCATAATGTATATTAAAATGTAAAAAAAAAATTAACTTCAAATATTACGAGGGAAAAGCAAAGACAAAAGGTGGGAAAATGTTTTCAATTCCCGCTATTATTTTTCCTACGATTTTCCAACAGAATACTAATTTTAAATATTAACTAACATTTCGTTGGTGTTTTATAGGAAAATAACGACACTTTTCCAACGGAATCTTTAGGGTATCTACTTCCGTAGGTAATTATTGGAATTTTTTTGCTTACATTTTTGTCGCATGTTTGTAGGAAACTAGATGAATATTTTTCATATAACATTTAGCAGCTAAAACTAAATTTTCTAGTAGTGGTGATGAGCTCAACGTTAGTCCAATATTTGAAGCTACATAGCCAACCATAAGAAATGGTCAACATGTATCGGTGATGTATCATTTTATATACTATATTTTTATTAACACTATTAGGTGATGTATCATTTTATATACTATATTTTTATTAACACTATTATTAATATATATATATATATATATATATATATATATATATATATATATATATATATATATATATATTATATATATATATATATATACACGACTAACATTATGGCCTTTAGATAGTCTTTCTATTTTAAACAAACTAACTTCATGTACCTATTTGATCATTTTTTTCTTATATTTGACATTAAAAGTGATATTTATTCAAAAAACACATGACCACCAGTCTAGCTGATTTCAACGAATCCTCAGTGACTTTTCATATGGGGTCAATAAACTGATTATAAAAGAGGTAATCCACCATACTCTTATAAATAATAATGTAAATCAGGCAAGAACAAAGCTTCCAAGCTCACATCCTTTTTCCCTTGTAAAGATTTTGTAATCAGTCAAACACCATCATACAGCCTGTAGAAGAACAGTAGAAAAAGCAACAATAAACTGATGCTTTATAAACTTAATCGATTTCGACATTTTGAGAAATTGAGTCTCTACAACATATGCGAGATAAAAGAGTAGAAGACCCTAACCAGTGTAGAGGCCGGAGGCATGGATATATCAAAATTGAAAGAACAAAGTTTATTATAAAGAGGAAAGAATAATGATTAAAACATAAGTTCTTTTAGTCCCCTAAATCTAAGTACATTATCATATTTTTTTTGAACCACTACACTTGATTATATTTGTAGTAACAAAAACATCGTCCTGTTGAAAATATGAACTTCATCCAGAATTTATAAATATGTAACATATACCATTAAGTCGATCCTCTTTGTCGAAATAACGTAAGGTATCCATGTCACGTGTACTCGTATCTGATTCATGGAATTTAGGCCGACCTTTAGCCAAACCAAAATGCCCCAGCTTTGCATTAAAATTCTGGAATAAGAATAAATGCTTAACTTTTATGGCATAAAATGAAATTATCGCCACCAAAATAATTTAAGTAACTTAATAGGTACAACCTTATCCAACAATATGTTAAAGGTTTTACTACCACCGTGTATGACTTGCTCCTTTGACGAGTGTAGATAAGTGAGTCCACGAGCTACTCCTATCATTATCCTAAGTCGTGTTGTCCATGAAAGTGGTTTTGTAACATCTGGTGCATTTGAAAAATTACTCATGTCACATCATCTAATTCATGGCAACAATTCAACTTTGAGTAAGAATAATTCAACAATAGTTATTGAGAGAGATTCAAGTAGATTACCTCCAAATAAGAAGTGACTAAGATTTAGCTTAAGAATTTGGGTGTAGTCGTAAACAAGAAAGCAATTTTTCTTCTTATCATTGCAGTATCCCATGAGACTAATAATATTTAGATGAGGCAACCTTCCAATGCCTGTCACTAGTGTTTGATCTTACAACATTTCAAATTACATTTAGCAAAAGAATTTATAAAAAAATAGTTTAAGCATTTTATTATAAAAGGACTCCCGAGTTCCATTCACAACATAGAACATAGATATACAAATAAGCATTATCCATGTTTAATTCCAACCTTGAAGGATAATATTTTCCATGTTTTTCTCATGGTTTAATGTCGTGTTCTTAAGCCGCTTATTTGGAAAGAAACAAAGTGAATCAGGACGCAACAATGAGCATGCATCTTGTATGTTCTTGTGCTTTTGTATATGAAGAGGAAGTAACCTCATGGAAACTTTTTGGGTGACTTTGGTTGAATGCAAGAAATAACAACATACTGCACTTAATTTTATAATAACATCCTCCTTTGGGTCAGTTGTTATAGGGTTGTATTTTGAAAAATCTACCAAATTATAAGGATGTCATCAATATACCAAACAATTTTCAATATAGAAATTTTCAAATAAACAACTACATTTTCAACTCTTTATCTAAAACCACAATTTTATTTTTTCTATCTTAAAAAACATTCATATTTCTACAAGTTTCCCGTAAATCATTAATATTAAAAAAACATCACTTTTTAAAAAAATATTTTTTTTAAGAATCCAACGTGATTTCTGGCCATGGAACAGAGTTTATTCACCACTAGAAGTGGGAATGGTTCCATTTTAGTTTGAAAAAACATTTCTTCTGTTTATTATTATTAATTTATTTTCATGGGTTCTTCATTAATAATGTTGCTAAAAATTTAATAAACACACATAATTTTCTAAAACATGATACAATACAAAAGCCAACACATCCTTATCATTATATTTTCAAAAGAAATCGTAAATGTATAATAATAATTTTAATGTTTAACACAACCAATTAAACATGCATAGATATAAAATGACATAATTTTTGGTGATCTGGTTCATTTTTTTTTCAAGTTTTTATATATAAGAAATCAACACCCTATACGTTTTGAAAAACCTATGGTTTGGGTTTTGGTTTTCTGAAAAACATGTTTTTGTATGTTGAATAGAAAAAAAGGAACTAAACCAAAATACAAAAATTGTCATCTTATGTATATGTTTAATTGATTAATAGTGTTAAAATTTAAAATGATTATTTTACATTTATGGATTTTTATTGAAAATTAAAATAATTAGCACGTGTTGGTGTTGCATATATACCTTTTCTTGAAAATGGTACATTAATAAAATTGGTGACTTTATTTTTGGCATCACGTAAAAAAGTTGCATGTATTCTTTTTACATTGGGTTTTAAACTTGCATGGCCCCCAAATGGCGGAGAGTGAAACTCACTTAATAGCGCTTGGCAAAGATGGGATAGTTGAGGAATGAACATGCCATCAATATTGCACCATCTTGGATTTTGTGATTTGGGAATTCACGAGGAGATGCTTATGCTTTTTGAAGGAGGTATTTCCCAACCAAATCTATAGCAAAATATTCTAGTGAATGACAATCTAAGTTGGTTTGGATTTGAGCATTCTCTACTTTGTTTTCTTTATAGTTTATAATGTACCTCAACATAATATTCGAAAAGTTTCTTTCCATTTGTATTATTCGGGGGGCTTGTATGACTTGAGAGTAAATGCTTGATACAAAACATATAGATGTTCAGAAGCGTTATGGACAAATGAGAGAAAGTAAGATACAAATTATTAATTTTATTATATATTCCATGATGCAATACAATGCATATAAATAGATGCAAACCTACGTGCTAACTAGAATTGAGGATCATAATAGAGATCAAGAGATCATGCGGTTGAGGGAAACGTGGGACACGAAACAACCTATTAACTTATAATTGTTGGAATGTGATGGTTTTTCAAACACACGCAACAAAAGTAATAAAAAATTTGTATCATCACATTACACTTTGGATCTTGTTTAGACAACTAGTAGCAACAAAAAATGACAACAAATGAGATTATCACCTTTGTTGTAGTCGATCCTTTTAGTTTCTTGGATGATTAGAGAGCCAAAACGAGAACCCCTCTCTTGTAGTAGCATCGTAAGATGATGATCTATGCTATACGACTAGTCTTTGTTCTCTTTGAATGACAAAACAAAACCCTACATTGAGAAGGGAGGGGTTTTCGAGAGCAAGAGGAACCGGGTGTTTGGGAGTGCTCTTTTAAAATGAATTATTGATTTATTGGCTTTTCAAAAAGTTAATAAATTAAAAAGGTGTGACATCATCTAATTTTCTGAACCAAAAAGAACTTTCCTTACATTTTTGAAACGACCCAAAAATACGACCCAAAAAATTTCGTTTTTAATACCATCAAAACTATAATCAGAGTATCATATAAATAAACCATGCGTGATATGCCCCAAAATATAATAAAGTACTGTGCGGAAACTGTAACATACTATATCCAAAAACAACAACTAAATCAAATCCAGACTAAAGCTGAAACGGTGGTGTGTGCGATGCCGTCACCCAGAGCTCTTCCCTTTGCTTGCGGAAGTACCTGAAACCAAAACTGAAACTGTAAGCACGAAGCTTAGTGAGCTCCCCCAACTTACCACATACCATACAACAACATATAAACACATATTGGGCCTTGCCCACTGCATCGGGCCGGGGCCCGGAAACTGCATCGGACCGAAGTCCGGAACTGACTGGGACCTTGTCCCCTGCATCGGACCAAAGTCCGGAACTAACTGCATCGGACCGGAGTCCGGAACTAACTGCATCGGACCGGAGTCCGGAACTGACTGCATCGGACCGGAGCCCGGAACTGACTGCATCGGACCGAAGTGCGGAACTGACTGGGACCGTGTCCCCTGCATCGGACCGGAGCCCGGAACTGACTGAGCATAGCATAGCATATCATAACAAACATACTGCATACTGCATCGGGCCGCAACCCGGAACATAAAACACATAACACATAGCACATGAATTATGTCTGAACCACGAAGGCATCAAACATACTAACTACTACATCGGACCGAAGTCCGGAAACTACTATTAACTGGACGGGCCGGCATTGTGGCCTTAGACCCGCCCCTACGGGAAGGAAACTCACCTCGTAAGCTAGCGGATGAGTGTGTGGCTCGGAAAGCTAACGGCTGCTGCTCCTGAATCTCCTCGGCTACAAATCCATAAACACACTCAATCAATCACTAGCACTACACTCAGGGTAAAATGACTCTTTTACCCTTGGTCAAAGTTGACTTACTCAGGGCTGACTCGCCGAGTCGGGATACCCGACTCGCCGAGTCCTAGACTCTCCGCTCAACTCTTACATGCTGTTACTCGTCGAGTGTGGCATCGACTCGACGAGTACCCTCTGGATCCAAGAACTCAGATGATCTTCATCCGACTCGCCGAGTCAGATGAACAGACTCGACGAGTTGTTCTTGATCCTCAAGAAGATTGCCTTGGACTCGCCGAGTTGTATGAACAAACTCGCCGAGTCCCTCCATCACTGAGTCTACTCTTAACTCGCTGAGTCCACTCCCTAACTCACCTCGTCCACTCGACACTGAAGAAACTGAAGAACTCGGGACTCGCGACCTGACTCGTCGAGTCGTTCTTCCGACTCGCCGAGTCGCCGCCATGCAACATATTTTTACTCGATTTCTCTTGAATCCAACACATGCAAATGATAGATCTAGGTCCATTAAGCTGTTTTACCACGTAAAGTTTCCAACTTTACGTGCACAACCACATGAATGAGGGAAATAAGACTAAAATATGCACAATAAGGGTAGATCCATGGCTAATAAGCAATGTAACTCCAAAAAGACAGTGGATCTGGACTCTACAACACCCCAACACTCAGATCCAAAGGTATTTCGGCTTAATAACACATTCAAGCAAGCATAAAGCTTGGAACAAGCATCAAATAGCCCTTAAAAGAGCTCTAATGGAAGTTTAAGCATGAAACCAGAAGAGAACTCCGAAAATACCTCAATAAGTTCACACTTGATCTTGGATCTTGGCACTAGAACTCGTTTCCTTGCTTCCTTCTTCTTCTCCTTCTTCACCCCTTCACAAAATGGAACAAGATCACTTATAAGCTCACAAGAGGAAGGTTTAGGGTTTCTCACAGTGCTCTCAGGGGGAAAGTGACGAGATGGAGGCTATAATGGGGTTTAAATAGTGAGCAAACCCGGGGAGTTAGGGTTTCACCCAGACGGACGGACTCGCCGAGTCCAGGATATGGACTCGCCGAGTCGCCGGCTCCCGCGTGCACAAGATGCGCGACCCGACTCGGCGAGTCAGGCTAGAACTCGCCGAGTCCCTCTTGAAAACTTAGCCCAAATCAAATTAATTAACATACCGGAAACGGGTCGTTACAATTCTCCCCACTTGTTTCAGACTTCGTCCTCGAAGTCTGCTACGGCTGGATCTGCGAATAACTCCGGGTAGTGCGTTCTCATTTCTTCTTCAGCCTCCCATGTCCATTCAGACCCCTTCCGATGCTGCCACTGCACCTTTACCAGCTGAATTACCTTGTTCCTCAAGGTCTTGGTCTTCCGTTCCAAAATTGCTATCGGCTTCTCGATATAATTCAAGCCGCTATCGACCTGGATATCCTCCAAGGGAACGACCGCTGTCTCGTCCACTAAACACTTCCTCAACTGCGACACGTGGAAGGTGTTGTGTATCAAACTGAGCTCCTCAGGAAGATCTAACCGGTAAGCAACCCGACCCACCCGGGCCAAAACCCTGAAAGGACCAATAAATCTGGGGCCCAATTTGCCCTCTTCCGGAACCTGATGACACCTTTCCAAGGTGAGACTTTCAGAAGAACCATGTCTCCCACCTGGAACTCCAAGTCTGAACGCCTCTTGTCGGCGTAGCTCTTCTGCCGACTCTGCGCAGTCTGCAGTC